GGACCAAATTCTAATTTTTCTTGGCTACAAGTCTTCAAAATAATGTTTTCAATTTTTTCCCTTTGCTTCACCCCGCCATGTTTCTTTTCTTTTTTTCTAAGATGGAGTTTCACTTTTGTCGCCCGGGCTGGAGTGCAGTGGAGTGATCTCAGCTCACTGCAATCTCTACTTCCTGGGTTTAAGCAATTCTCCTGCATCAGCCTCCCGAGTAGCTGGGATTTCAGGCATCTGCTACCACACCCTGCTAATTTTTGTATTTTTATGTTTTTAGTAGAGACAGGGTTTCACCATGTTGGCCAGGCTGGTCTCAAACTTCTGACCTCATGTGATCCACTGCCTTGGCCTCCCCAATGTGCTGGGGTTCCAGGTAGGAGCCACCGCGCCCACCCCGCCCCCATTTTTCCTAATTTGGAGTCACTGAAACCTGAGCTGTGCTTTCATAAAGCCCTGCGAACTGAAGCCAGGCTACTTAAACCTGAGAAGAGAAGAACAGCCTGTCTACGTGCATAAGCCGCTTTCACGCCTGCCTGCCGACGGATGGGCTTCCGAGTGTGTGGCCTGTATCGATTTTTCCTGGAGTGTTCTTTGCTTTGTTGCTTTTCTTTCTTCCTTCCCCTGTTTCTCTTCATAGGACATGAGTCTTCACAACCTTCTAAAAATGAGCTTTCCTAATAACTCAGGACCTGTCGGTCTAGGAGTAAACCACCCTTGTCATGAGGGGTCAGACAAAACCTGGGACCAGACATGCGTTTTCTTCTAAAATGCTTTCTCCAAAAGATTTTAAGAAGAAAATGGCGTGAAATGTGAGAGGAAAATATCCTCTTACGTTTGTTTGTTTAATCCTGGTACAAACACATCATCACCATAAGAATTTCCATGAGTTTTCCTCATAGTCATAAAGGTTTCCCAAACCGGAAGTTCCCTGAGCTGGAGATGGGAAGTCTTAGGTGTTATGCTTTGAGACAGTCTGGCTCAGTCACCGGGCTGGAGTGCGGTGGTGAGATCAAGGCTCACTGCAGCCCAGACCTTCCTGGCTCAGGTGATCCTCCTGCTTCAGCCTCCACAGTCTCCAGCCCCCACACCTGGCTAATGTTTGTGTTTTTCTTAGAGTTGTGGGTCTCACTGTATTCCCTAGGCTGGTCTTGAACTCCTTGACTCAGTTGATCCTGCCACCTCTACGCTTGGCCAAGACTTTTATTACCCCTAATTTTAGATATTCTGGTCAGAAGTCGCAGGATTCTCCCTGAATGCGCTGCAAACTGCCATCCTGCTGGCGCTTACAGGTCACCAGGTGTGCTTGCAGGCCCTGGGCTGGCATCTCGGGCTGTCCCTGCTGTCCCCACTGGTTCTGGGCCAGTGCCTCCCAGCCTCTCTGCTTTTTCTTTTGGAGAGCCTCAGGGACTTGCTGGAGCCACTTGCTGGGGCCTGTGCACCATGGCCCCTCATGGCCCTCCCTGATCAAGAACCATCAGCCTCAGCAACGTGCCCAGAGCTGGAAAACCAGACCTTCTGGGTGCTCCCAAGGAGGCAGCAGGTCGCCAGCCTCCAAGCCCCGAGGCTGCAACAGCAGGAAGTTTGAGGCTCTTTGGGATCCACTGAGCTCTCTGGCAACCTCAGAGCAAAGGCAGCAGGGCCTGGCCACAGGCCCCACAGTCACTAGTCCCATAAGGCAGCTTCAGCTTGAGGGGAGGGTCCTGGGGACTTCAGGAAGCCACTAAACGCTAAAAACACTTGAAAGCAATGTCAGATGGTTTATCATTTTCAGCAATATTTCATTTCCCTCCCCTACAATCCTTGGCTTTCAAGTTTTGCAGCAGCTGAGCTCTTTTTCATTTTTTAATCGTTTTTTTTTTTTTGAGATGGAGTTTCGCTCTTGTTACCCAGGCTGGAGTGCAATGGCGCGATCTCAGCTCACCGCAACCTCCGCCTCCTGGGTTCAGGCAATTCTCCTGCCTCAGCCTCCCGAGTAGCTGGGATTACAGGCACGCGCCACCGTGCCCAGCTAATTTTTTGTATTTTTAGTAGAGACGGGGTTTCACCTTGTTGACCAGGATGGTCCCGATCTCTTGACCTCGTGATCCACCCGCCTCGGCCTCCCAAAGTGCTGGGATTATAGGGGTGAGCCACCACGCCTGGCCTTTTAATTGCTTTTTTAAACAGCCTTATTGAGATGCAATTCACATACCAAAGAACTTACCCAATTAAAGTGCACAATTCAGTGGATTTTGGTAAGTTCACAGTGGTGCAGCCGTGGGCTCTCCTTAAAGGAAAGTGTAACACTGTAACTCCTGGGTGTACGGGCAGAAGCCTCATCTCTGCTTGGCTAAACACATCACCCACTTCCTGCCCCATTGGTCCTCTGGGTCGGTCAAGCGCACCTGTGGCTGGACTCACCTTTGGGGACCCCAGGTCACCCCCTTCCCAGTTGCTCCAACACTGACCACCCTACCTGACCCCTGTTGACGGGGAAGAGCGGCCTTGAGAAAGCTGTGAGATTTTGGAGACAATTGGGCAGCTGCAGAGAACGGAGACCAGTTCATGCTGCCCCAAGGCCAAGGGGGTTATTCTAAGTGTGACTGCAACACCTCTAACAGACGGCCAGTGTGTCCCATAGAAGTGCAGAGCGGGCATAAAAGTGTGTGAGGGGCCATAGAAGTGCAGTGTTTGAGGAAGGAGTTTAATATGGCGGAATGAAGGGATGGCCAACGGAGGCGGCTGAGAGGCCAGGCTGGTGAAGTCCTGCGTGGGCTTATCAGTAGTGGGTTAAACTCTAACTATTCGGAGCTGTAAAACTGCCCTTCCCACCCTGGTGCAGTCGCTTTCCCTGGGAAGGTCTTGGCAGGTCCACAGAAGTGGTTCAACGGCAGAGCAGGAACCCCAGTCTGTGTGGGACCACACTTGGGTTTGGGAAACATGTCCTTTCTCACAAGGATGTCTGTCTCCCATGGGACCCTGACCCTGCTGGGGGTGTGGCTGTCTCTGCTCTTTGGCCCCTCCCACTCACCTCCCTGCACCTGGGATTCTAATGTGTATTTGGGGTTGGCCACTGGGTGCCTCTTTGAGGTGGTTCCCATTTTTCAGTAAGGACTGGAGGGGGCATTGGAGAGCATTGTAGGGCGATGGTGAATGGAGGGCGGGGAAAGTCCTGTGCCATCTGCAGGGCCTACAGGCGTGGCTGTGGGACCACCACGGTGGTGGAGCTGGTGTTGGTGTCTGAGGTGCTGGGTGTGCCGTGAGCCTGAAGCAGGTGAGAAATTATGGGAGGTCTTAGCTCTGCCATCCCCAGTGTCTTTGAGACCCAGACCCTTGGTGTGGAAGAAAGGAGACAGGATGTCCCACATAGAGGTTCCGCTGAAAGCCACAGGTTTGAACTGGAGCTGGAGGTTCTTGGTGTGGACTCGTGAGGATTCCGTCTTCTGATGTGTAGCTCTGAGCTCTGGCTACGGAGAAGACCCAGACATGCGGCCTTCTCTGGGCAGTGAGCACCCCAGCACCCAGACTGTGATCCCTAAAGGCTGCTTCCTACCAGCGGGACCCAGGGCCCTTTGGAAACGTGGCTGACTCCAGGCCTGGGCCAGGAAACATACGAAGCAGGTTCGGAGCATCCTGGTCAGCAGGGAAGCTGCCGAGGACCAGGGCGGGAGCCCTTCCTGGGCTGGCCACGGATGCGTCACCACGTATCAGGGCCCTGCCCGGTCTGCTTCTGTGGAAGACAGACTCATCTCATCCAGAGTTAATTCTGCTGTTGTGAGTGGAGCCCGGCACACCCACCTCCCCACATCCCACTGTTCTCTCCCTGATGGCCGAGGGGTGCATGGCCAGCTCTGGTCTTGTCTGAGAGGAGAGACATGGAGCAGGGCCCGTGGGTGGGGTTGGGAGACAGTGTGGCCCCGACCAGCAGCTGGGTGCCAGGGACAGATGGTTACTGGGTGGTTCCCATGGGGAGCTGGGCTGTTGGTGGCCCTGAGCTGGCCCCATGTGGCACCCCCCACCCCATCGAGGGGACATGGCCCATGTGGCACCCCCAATCCATCACTGAGAGACCCCTTTGCTGCTCTCCACTGATGGGGGCTTTTGCCCAGAGGATGGGGGAGCCTGGCTCCTCACCTGATTCCCAGGCAGGATCATCCGGATCTGCTCTTCTCTGATCTGGCTGCACCTGCCAGGTTCCTGGGACCCAGTCCAGGCCTTCTGAGGCCTCCTTGTTTGGGCCCCACCTCTCTATCGAGCCATCATGCTTTCCCCAGGCTCAGTCATCCCGGCTGCCGCAGCAGACGCCACAGACTGGGTGGCTTCAGCGGCAGACATGTGCTTCTCACGGTTCTGGAGGCCGGAGGGTGGGAGTCCTGAGCCAGTGTGGCGGGTTCCTGGGGAGGGCCTCCTCGGCCTGCAGACACTGCCTTCTCTCTGTGCCCCCCATGTGGGGAGCCAGAGTGAGGAGAGGAAGCCACTCTCTGGTCTCTTCCTCTTCTTACAAGGACATGACTCCCATTACAGGGACTACACCCTCCCTCACAAGCCCTGACCACCTCCCAGAGGCCCCACCTCCAGGCACCATCATGCTGGGTGTTAGGGGCTTGGCCTATGGATTTTGGGGGTGCACAGTCCATTGCACCAACCTCTCAGCCTCTCCAGCCCCCTGGGGATGCTGAGCTCAGAGTCTTCATCCCATCACAGTCTCCGGGGGGGTCCTGAGAGGGCAGAGGTCCCCTGACCTGCTCCCACCTCTGGTCCCAGTAGCGTGGCTCTGGCAGCTTGCGAACCCCAGGGAAGGGGATGGGTCACCCACTAGGCTCTTTCCTGCCCTGAGCCGGGCAGGGTGTTCAAGGTGGAGTCAGATTCATGCCTGTTCCAGGTCACCCCCTACCCCCGGGTGGGCATCCAGTGTTTCAGGACAAGATGTTACAGAGATGAGGGAAGCCCAGACCTGTGTGACCTGGGATGGGAGGTGGGGGTGGTGCAGCCTGGCCCTGGGCACTCATGGTGTGCCCTGCCCACAGGTACTTCCGGGTCATCCTCCTCCTCCTCCTCGCCCTGACACTGCTCCTGCTGGCTGGATTCCTGCACACAGACTTGGAGCTGCTCACACCGTAAGTCCTGCCCTGGGCTCCCCAACATCCCCGAGGGCAGAGCCGGGGACCCCAGCACGGTCACGCCTCCCCACCAGGCCTGCATCCTTCTGGAAGAGGAGGGATAGATGGGCTCTTCCTTGGGAGACCCATGAATGTCTCCTGTGAACCACGAATCCACCCAGCCTCTGGGGAGGGGTCTGGGAAGCAGGGGTTTGGGGGCAGAGCCAGTGTGTGCAGAGGGTACCAAGGTGCAGGAGGCAGGGCTGGAGGCTGCCTTCTTGCTCCTCACAGCAGAGGTGGGCCTGCGCTAGGCCTAGGTTTGGATCTGGGAAGGAAAAGGTCAGACCCATGCTCAGTTGAGACTTTGCAGCCTTGGGCCCGCCTGGAGACCCTCTCCCTGACCTGCCCAGGACACAGCCTCTGTGGGGCCCCTGCTGCACAGAGGTGGCCACCTGTGCCCACCTCACCCGTGCCCATCATGCCTGTGCCCACCTCACCCATGCCCACATCCCCCATGCCCACCTTACCCGTGCCCACCTCACTGGTGCCCACCTCACCTCTGCCCCTCACCTGTGCCCACCTCACCCGTGCCCACCTCACCTGTGTCCCTCGCCTGTGCCCATCTCACCTGTGCCCACCCCACCCGTGTCCACCTCACCTGTGTCCATTTTGCCTGTGCCCACCTCACCCGTGCCCACATCCCCCGTGCCCCTTACCTGTGCCCACCTCACCCATGCCCACCTCACCCATGCCCACCTCACCTGTGTCCCTTGCCTGTGCCCATCTCACCTGTGCCCCTCACCTGTGCCCACCTCTCCCGTGCCCACCTCACCTGTGTCCCTCACCTGTGCCCATCTCACCTGTGCCCACCCCAACCGTGTCCACCTCAGCTGTGTTCATTTGCCTGTGCCCACCTCACCCGTGCCCACCCCACCTGTGTCCATCTCACCTGTGCCCACCTCACCTATGCCCACCCGTGTCCACCTTGTAGCCCAGATGTGCGTCCAAGCCAGGCTGCTGGGGGTCTTCCAGGCCCCACCATTCCCCAGCCCCTCTGGTTGGAGGAGGGAGGGGAGCACCAACACCCTCTGGGCCAAGTTGCTGGAGACGGGTACCAAGGCCCCTGTCTTTGCCCACCTCCGTCACCCCAGGCCACCCTGACCCCACCATCCTGGTCACTCCTGCCGGCCCTGCTCTGGGGCAGGGAGGGCACCTGCTACTCCAGGCCCACTGGGTGGGAGTCATGAGGGGGTCCCAGGAGTGGGCCCAGCATCCACTCCAGTCCCACATCTAGCTGCTTTCTCAGCTTTGGAGTCCTTCCTTTTCCTGGTGTGAAGGGACAGCCAAGAAGCAAGCACTGCATGTGAGGCTGAGGTCACAGAGCCAGCAGCACCAGCACCCTGAAGCCAGGGAGAAGGCTGGGGTGATGTGTGGGGCAGATGGTGTAGCCCCTGAGGGGCACAGTGATGGATCTGGGGACGCTGTCTCCATGGGGACCTCCGAGGCCGGGGCTGAGGGTCTCTACTAGGCTGGGGGCACAGTGATGGGTCTGGGGATGCTCAATGGGGGCCCCCAAGACCAGGACTGAGGGTCTTTGGGCTGGGGACAGTGACAGGTAGTATTGGTTTGGATTCCAGGGTTGGGGGTGACAACTAAAGAATCATGACATCTATCAATTTGGAGAGGGGACTTTGTTTCTCATAAAGTGCAGGCATCCCCCAGGCTGGGAGCACAGCAGCTGACACAGACTGTGGGTGGATACTTCACAGGGGTGGGGGTGGACAGGACAGGGGCTTACTCTGAACACCTTGGCCAAGTACATGTTCAGCAGGTGACAGGAGGAGCCACTTCTTCCCTGATGCACTTGCCCTGAACAAACATGCATGGCACATGTGACCCACGTTCACCTTGGGGTGGAGAATTCACATCAAACCGCGTTACAATTAGGCCCTGCAGGTCACAGGTGAAGCGGGGATGGGAGGCCCTAGATGCGCAGCCTCTGTAAACCGCCAGAACCAGTCCGGGCCAGGGGTCCTTGCTCAGGAGGCAGCTGCTGAAATGAGGCTCCTGTCCCAGTGCAGCTGCGGCTGTGGCCAGTGGAGCAGGGGTCAGTGAGGCGTGTCTGGCAGGGGCTGAGCTGCACCTGGTTTCACGTTGTTCATCTGGAGGCCAGTATTTGGCTGCCAGAGAAAAAGAGAAGCCTGTGGCAGGGAGAACTTGGTTTCTGCTTTAAGTGCAGCGTGCATGACGAAGCCCCTGCCTGGCGTGGCCTTGGATCCTGTTGAGGATTTGGTGTCTTATGGCCACAGTCGGTTCTGCCAGGCTATGGTCTCTTTTTGCTAAAAAAAAATCTTTTTAGGCCTGGCGCAGTGGCTCACGCCTGTAATCCCAGCACTTTGGGAGGCCGAGGCGGGTGGATCACGAGGTCAAGAGATTGAGACCATCCTGGTCAACATGGTGAAACCCCGTCTCTACTAAAAATACAAAAAATTAGCTGGGCACGGTGGCTCGTGCCTGTAATCCCAGCTACTCGGGAGGCTGAGGCAGGAGAATTGCCTGAACCCAGTAGGCGAAGGTTGTGGTGAGCGGAGATCGCGCCATTGCACTCCAGCCTGGGTAACAAGAGCGAAACTCCATCTCAAAAAAAAAAAAAAAAAAACTTTTTAAAAACTTTAAGTTCTGGGATCCATGTGCGGAACGTGCAGGTTTGTTACATAGATATACATGTGCCATGGTGATTTATTGCACCCATTAACCTGTCATCTAGGTTTTAAGCCCCGCATGCATTAGGTGTTTGTTTTAATGCTCTCCCTCCCCTTTCCGCACCTCCCCTGACAGGCCCCAGTGTGTGCTGTTCCCCTCCCTGTGTCCGTGTATTCTCATTGTTCAATTCCCATTTATGAGTGAGAACAGTGTTTGGTTTTCTGTTCCTGTGTTAGTTTGCTGAGGATGATGGTTTCCAGCGTCATCCATGTCTCTGCAAAGGACAAGAACTCATTCTTGTTTATGGCTGCATAGTATTCCATGATGTCTATGTACCACATTTTCTTTATGGTCTCTGTTTAAACATTCACGCTGGGCAGTTGCTGTGTCTAAACCGCAGAGGGGAGAGGGTGTGATGAGGTGTCTGACCTCCCATCCCATCACTGCTGGGAACTCAGTTTTAAGGTGTGTCTGGGGCCCCCTTGGCCAATAGGGGGTTCTTTAGTCAGTTGTGGGGGACATTAGGGTTTTTAGTTCTCAGGGGCACAGGGTTGGGGAAGCATGGTTATGGGAGACAGCTGGGGGAGTGTATGTTCAGGCCACCAGACGGGAGGCTGTGGAGTGGGGCAAGGGTTGGGGCCATGGGTTGGTGCTTACCAGTGGGCCCCCGGTCCAGAGTTGGGGGACTCAGGTTGGAAGGTCTCTCTTTGGGGTTGTCGGGCCAGGGGTCGCTGTTGGGCATGGGTCGGAGCATCTGCACCCTTGCTGATGTGGTGTGTGCCCTCCCTCCCAGCCTGTTTGAGGGTCAGGCCGAGGGGCCGCCTGTCACCAACATCATGTTCCTGAAGACGCACAAGACGGCCAGCAGCACAGTGCTCAACATCCTCTACCGCTTCGCGGAGATCCACAACCTCTCCGTGGCGCTGCCCACCGGCTGGCACGTCCACCTCGGCTACCCCTGGCTCTTCCTGGCGCGCTACGTGGAAGGTGTAGGGTCGCAGCAGCAATTCAACATCATGTGCAACCACCTGAGGTTCAACCTGCCTGAGGTGCGCCTGCGGGGGAGGAAGGCGGGCCCTGCGGGGAGGAGGGCAGGCAGCGGTCTTGACTGTGGTTGTGGGGTCCGGTGGTGTAGCCGGGAGGCTGGAGGGAAGGGGTGTAAGGCTTGGGGGCGGGGCATGCAGAGAGGAATGGGGAGGGCCTGGACCGCAAGCCCAGCTGAGCCAATCCCCGCCCCTCCAGGCGGTCAGTCGCCTGCAGTTGCTCCTGGAATGAGACCTAGAGCCCCACAGCCCTGCCCAAGGGCATCCCCAGCGCCTTCCTTCTCTGGCCCCCTCTGCTTCTGCACAGGCCCAGCTCTCCCCACCCTATGACCTTCACGCCTGTGGTTGCAGGCCCCGCTCCAGTCCCTGGGTTCTTAGCATAGAGCTGGCCTTCCCCCAGGCCGTCCCTGACCTTCCTTACAAAGGAAGCAGGGCAGGGAGTGTGAGTGGGAGGGCTGTGGGAAGGCATGGGTGTTTTAGGGTCACTCTAGTGCTCTGTGGCAAATGGCCAGCAGGGGCTAGGTGGCCAGGCGCGGCCAGAGGAAGACCAGGTGGTGACGGGCAGAGCCGGGCAGCTTGGGTGTGCTGTGGGGTGGGGGCCTAGGGGCAGAGGGAAGAGGGGGGCCGGGAGGAGGGGAAAGGAAGAAGGTAGGCCTCCCATCAAGCGGGGTTTCTGAGGGTGGAGAAGCAGACCGTGTCGTTGGGCGTGAGTTTTTGCATGACTTTACTTTCTGTGGGTAGCGTGTGAACTCCGGGACCTCTGAGGGGCACAAGAGAAGGCGAGTCCAGACCCACCCTGCGGGGAACCTGAGTCACCGGGCTTCTCCGGGCCTCACTTTCCTTGTCTGTTAGGTGGGTGTCACCCTGGCCTGTGGGCAGCTGGTGGAGTGCTGAAGGTCCCCTGTGCCAGGGGTCCGTGGAGGGCCCATCGTGCGGTGTCTGTGCCCCATGGCATCCCACCCGTTGAGGCCTCTGGGTTGCCGCCAGGTGCCAATGGGAGCTCCCTCTCCCGACTCCCGCCTCCCGCCTCCTGCTCTGGCCGCGGCCTCCTCCTCCTGAGGTCCCTTCCTGGGCACCCAGGCACCAGTGACTGGGCTGCAGGGCCTGCATGTGGCCCTGGGTCTGCTTCCGGAGCTGCCGCACGAGGAGGCGCCCGGTCCAGGTCCCTCCGATGTGAGGATGGGGGCGCTGCTTGGGCGATGTGGCTAGGGCGCGCCTCCTCCCCTCGGGTGGGCCACCCTGCTCCAGCCCGGGGTCTGCAGCCCGCCTCTCGGTCCCCACGCAGGTGCAGAAAGTCATGCCCAACGACACCTTCTACTTCTCCATCCTGAGAAACCCCGTGTTCCAGCTGGAGTCCTCCTTCATCTACTACAAAACCTATGCGCCCGCCTTCCGGGGCGCCCCGAGCCTGGACGCGTTCCTGGCCTCGCCGCGGACGTTCTACAACGACAGCCAGCTCCTCAGGAACGTCTACGCCAGGAACAACATGTGGTTCGACTTCGGCTTCGACCCCAACGCGCCGGTCGAGGAGGGCTACGTGCGCGCGCGCATCGCGGAGGTGGAGCGGCGCTTCCAGCTGGTGCTCATTGCCGAGCACTTCGACGAGTCCCTGGTGCTGCTGCGGCGCCGGCTGCGCTGGGCGCTGGACGACGTGGTCGCCTTCAGGCTCAACTCCCGCAGCGCGCGCTCCGTGACCCGCCTGGCGCCCGAGACTCGGGAGCGCGCGCGGCGCTGGTGCGCGCTGGACTGGCGCCTGTACCAGCATTTCAACCGCAGCCTCTGGGGGCAGCTGCGCGCCGAGCTGGGTCCACGGCGGCTGCGCGGGGAGGTGGCGCGGCTCCGGGCGCGGAGGCGCGAACTCGCGGCCCTGTGCCTGCAGGACGCCGGCGCGCCCCAGAACCGGACGCAGATCCACGACCCGGGCCTGCGCCCCTACCAGTCAGGCGCGGCCGACATCCTGGGCTACAACCTCAGGCCAGGCCTGGACAACCAGACGCGGCGTGTGTGTCAGCGGATGGTGACGCCCGAGCTCCAGTACATGGCGCACCTGTACTCCCTGCAGTTCCCGGAGAAGCCCCCGAAGAACATCCCGTAGATGGTGGAGGGGGGAGCGTACAGGGGGCGGGGGCCGGGGCCTCCCGCCGACACCAGCCCCTCTCTCCACAGTTGGGAAACCCAGGCCCGCTGGCCCCTGCTCTAAAATGAAGAGGGCTGAGACCCCAGTGAAGAGCCGCCCCCCCCCCACCTCTGCCATCCGCCCAGATCCCTCCCAGAGAGGGCCCTGAGCCCTGGTGGAAGCCCCACCTAGTCTGCAGCTGTGCCTCAGTTCACCGAATAGAACTGAACACGAGGCCGGGGGAGTGATGGATGCTTGACCACAGGCCAGCACGCTGCCGGGCAGAACCCCATGCCCATGACCCTGGGTCTCCCGAGGTTCCTGGCACTGGGGCTGTGGGTTCTCGGAGGAACTCAGAGTGTCTCCCCTGGATTTCTCAGCCCTGGCAACAGGGTGCTGGTCCCAGAGACATGCGCAGTTACAGGCAGTGCCACAAAGACCCCAGGCTCAGCCCTGCAGCCAGTGATGGGGGAGCTGAGTGGAAACAGCTCCCATCTTTGGCTATAGGAGGTTTACTTCTGATGGAAGGACGTTTTCTACAGAGAGATGGAACCGTTGCTCAAAAGACAGGGGTCCACATCGAACTCAACTCCACGGCCTCTGCTGTCAGGCAGAAATGCTGGCGGAGGAGAGGACGTCTCACTCACCAAATGAGGCGGGAGTGGTTGGGGCTCCACACACCCATGGTTGCCTTGGAGGTGGTGTCAGGTGTGGTGCCAGAGGGCAGCTGTGGGCACCGTCTTTGTCATTCATTTGGAGGGGCAGAGCCTCCCTGCCTGGCAGGACGTGATCCTGGCTGCCGGGACAGGGGACGGTTAACCGGTAAAGGGGTGCACACATGTGGACAAGCCAGTGCCTGGGGCACCCAGGAAATGTACCTACCTGGCAGCACGTTCGGAAGGCCACCCTCCCTCCCTTAGCCCAGGGACCCCTGCAGGCCACCCTCCCTCCCTCAGCCTAGGGATCCCTGCAGGCCACCCTCCCCCACTCAGCCCAGGGACCCCTGCAGGCCACCCTCCCCCACTCAGCCCAGGGACCCCTGCAGGCCACCCTCCCCCACTCAGCCCAGGGACCCCTGCAGCTACCCTCCCCCACTCAGCCCAGGGACCCCTGCAGGCCACCCTCCCCCACTCAGCCCAGGGACCCCTGCAGGCCACCCTCCCCCACTCAGCCCAGGGACCCCTGCAGCTACCCTCCCCCACTCAGCCCAGGGACCCCTGCAAGCCACCTTCCCCCCATCAGCCCAGGGACCCCTGCAGGCCACCCTCCCCCCATCAGCCCAGGGACCCCTGCAGGCCACCCTCCCTCTCTCAGCCCAGGGACCCCTGCAGGCCACCCCCCCCACTCAGCCCAGGGACCCCTGCAGGCCCCTCCCCCACACTCAGCCCAGGGACCCCTGCAGGCCACCCTCCCCCACTCAGCCCAGGGACCCCTACAGGCTACCCTCCCCCACTCAGCCCAGGGACCCCTACAGGCCACCCTCCCCCACTCAGCCCAGGGACCCCTTCAGGCCACTTTCCCCCCATCAGCCCAGGGACCCCTGCAGGCCACCCTCCCCCCATCAGCCCAGGGACCCCTGCCGGCCACCATCCCTCTCTCAGCTTAGGGACCCCTGCAGGCCACCCTCCCCCACTCAGCCCAGGGACCCCTGCAGGCCACCCCCCCCACTCAGCCCAGGGACCCCTGCAGGCCACCCTCCCCCACTCAGCCCAGGGACCCCCTGCAGGCCACCCTCCCCATCAGCCCAGGGACCTCCGCAGGCCACCCTCCCCCACTCAGCCCAGGGACCCCCTGCAGGCCACCCTCCCCCTCAGCCCAGGGACCCCTGCAGGCCACCCTCCCCCACTCAGCCCAGGGACCCCTGCAGGCCACCCTCCCCATCAGCCCAGGGACCCCCTGCAGGCCACCCTCCCCATCAGCCCAGGGACCTCCGCAGGCCACCCTCCCCACCTCAGCCCAGGGACCCCCTGCAGGCCACTCTTCCTGGCTCAGCCCAGGGAGGGCACAGTAGGGCATTCTGCCAGGTAATGGGAAAGCAGGCCTGGGATGAGCCCACTGGCCAATGACAGGAGTCCCGAAAGACAGAAGAGACCACAAATGAGAAGTCAGGTCACACAGATAGCAAAACATTCCCGGCCAAACCCAGGGCAGGGCTGCTTATTCCAGAGGTCCAGTGAGGAAATGCAGATGAACTGGGAGGAAGAGTGTTTATTTCCATATCTGGTTACAAGGAGAAGGCCTGGGAACGATCGCCAGACCAACTCCAGGTTACAGAGTTTTTCCAGCGCTTACATACCTTCTAAGCTATAGGTCTACGTGTAAGCCTGCATTTGCCTAAAGACTGTGGTTCAATTCTTCCCTTCTATAACTGAGCCTGAGTCCTGAAGTCCTTCCTCTGTAGCCTCAATTTACTTAATCTAAATAGGTCCAGGTGCCTGGGTATTACCCTTATCTTGTCTTCCGCTAAATCTTGGAGGTTTGGGGAGTTCCTTCCGACCCCAATAAACTTGTTTGTGGAGGCCTGGGGAGTTTTTTCAGACCCCCAATAAAAGTTGTTGAATCTTCAGTGGGTCCTGTTAAGAATTCCTCCGTTGTCTGATCATGCCTCACAGCCCAGAAAAGCCGGGCGCAAAACTCATGGTGGGCTTTTGTTACATCCTGGCCTTTGTACGAGGGCACTGGCTCTCTCAGCTTTTCACATTTAACTTAACCTCCAGTCAGTGTGCTGAAGCGGTTGTTACAGAGGCTTGCGCTAGTGAGACCTGGCCTGCCACAGACACACATCCCTGAGTTGAAGAAAGACTCACAGTTTTCAGCATCCAGTTATTTATTCTCTGAGGATTAGGAAGAATCCTCCGGCCCCCTTGGCATACGTGGGCCCGTGACTGAGGGATGGTGGGATGGTGGGTGAGACCAGGATGAGGAGGTAAGGCTTCTGAGCCGAGCTCAGGTTGCCTCTGGGGAGGAGGAAGAGGGTTGGACATGGTGGCCGCTACGGTGGCAGCCCTGTCCTCAGGTGTGGACCCTGCCCTCAGCCCCACAGTCACCAAAGAAATGAAGTTCCAAGAGTGGGGCACCGTCATTTTGTCTCTGCCTTCAAGGTTGGCGGAACAGAAACTGGCCCTGTGATTTTGCATAGAAATTTGGGGGTAATTCTGGGGAAGTAAAACTGTATGTGGTTTCCAGCAGAGTTTTACAACAGCCTGTTCAGGGTGCGTGTTGAGAAGCGTTGGTTAAAATGCTGTCCGGAGAAGCGGGAACTCAGAGAGGCACGTCCCGGCATCGGTGTGAAGCTGGGGTCAGTGTGGGTCCTCGGCTGCCAGAGCTCCCCCAGGGAGCTTCTCCCAGTGGCTTTCACCCCACAGGGACAGAGCCTCAGATGTGCCCAGGGACCTCTGAGCAGCCGTGGGCCACAGGGTGACGACTGGGGGTACCTATGGCTGGCACATGCCCCGGGTCGACTTGTCCAGGCAGGGTGCCCAGGGGAAGTGGGTGATGCCTGAGGGAAGATCCGATTTTTCCAGAGAAGCTGGAAACACACTTTTCTGTGAAATCTCTAGGTTGAAAAAAGCTGGCTTGAAAAGCCTCAAGCAGAGGGGGTGAGGTCTGCCCCTCACTCCCGCTCTGTGGGCACAGCCTGGTTAAACAGCCCTGCTCCAGACCCTGCCTCTGTCTCCGGGTGGCTGAGGAGGGGCCTTTGCCAGATGATGTGGGGGATTGCAGGCCCCATTTCCCTGTGAGCCTGGGTGCTTAGGGGCGGCCCTGTCAGACTTCACCAGTCTTGGGGACAGGAAAAGGGAGTTGGCTGCCTGGTTCTGGTTGGGGTGGGGCTTCTGAGAGGCGGGGAGGTTGTCCCTTCCCACCCAGCTGCCCCTGCCCCAGGATTCTTGGCTGTGAGCAGGAGGGATGTGTGCAATGGCCGAGCTGCCTGCACTCCATACACCTCTCCTGGCCCACGGGGGCCATGCAGGAGATTCGGGAGGACCTGGGGCCCACCCTGCCACTTCCCTCTCTCCCATATCCTCCCTGGCCCTCTCCCAGCTCCCCCCAGTAAATCCCCTCAGGCCCCCAGGACCTGGAGGGATGACAGGTTTCTCATTTCAGCTTGGAAACCACGTGACCTCCTGCTGTCCCTCAGCCTGTCTCCCACCACAGCCCCCGAGGTTTCAGAAGCGGCCAAGGACGCCCTTCACAGGGGATGGAGGGACAGTGCAGAGGGAGGGTGTTCAGGGCCCAGGGAGCCCCCGGAGGCTGCCTCCCTCAGAGTGCACCAGGACTCGTGGCCTTCTCTGAGATTCTGGCCTGGGCAGCAGTCACGTGAGCATCAAGTTACCAAGGCTGCCTAGAAAATGGCAGCCTGGGTCGGGAGAGAATGGGGCTGGCAGGAGTCCTGTGGGGGTGGTTGTGCTGGGGAGGGGTCACCTGGGCCCTGAGAGGCACAGGACGTTGGGGCGGGGTGTTGGCCTGCCAGGAGCGTGGCTGCAGAGCTGGGGCCCAGCGAGGTGTGTCCTGCGCTTCAAGGGCTGTGCTGTGCCAAGGGAGGCCCTGCACTTGGAGTCCCCCTTCCCCGCTGCGCCTCTGGAGCTACAGAACCTGTGTCCCTGGGAGGCCAACTCTGGCCCCACAGCTGGGCCTATCTCAGCATGGCCCTTGTTAGAGAGCGAGCCCTGGGTCCTAGGCACCTGTGCTGGCTCCGGTGTCTGTGTGGCTCCTGGGTGCCCATCTGCACCTGTGCCTCTGCTCTGGGCTTCAGTGGAGCCATGCCACGTGGGAGGCTCCAGGGTCCTGACGTCGCCCTGGGGCGTGGCCAGCTCCCTGGCCTGCCGCCTGCACAGTGGGTCCTTGTCTCTGCTCTGGGCCAGGCAAGGCGGCCGCCCATGATGAGCTCTGCGGCCTTGCCGAGGTGGCCGGTGAGTCCCCGTCCTGTGCATTCCCCGTGCCCTGACCCTCTACCTTGTTGCTCGGGGCCAGGACCCTCCTCAGGCACCCACCCCGCTGGCTGCCCCCTCTGTCTGTGGTTGTTGGACGAGTCCTCTTGTCAGGCCCCGGGTGGCTCCTCACCTCTCAAACGGGTCAGGCTGCATGGATCCCGAGGGGCCCTACAGCAAGAATCCCAAACGTGTCTCCGAACGGAGCAGTTTCTTGGCCCACAGGATGGGTGTGACACTGAGGGATCCTGGGGGCAGATTCAGGGCGTGGCATGGAGACAGACCAGTTGTGAGGGGCCCAATGCAGGGGCTGCCCCAGACCACAGGGTCTTTCTGCGGCTGGGCTGGCCGGGGACACTGCACCAGGTGAAGGGTCTGTGGTTGGAGTCTTTGCCCTGGCCAAGGCACAGGATGCTCACAGTACAGGCTGAGGGTTAGAGCTGCCCGAGGGCCCCCTGCTGAGATTCTGTGCAAAGGGCCTCATGCCTGACGTGGTGCCTGTGAAGCCCCTCGCTGAGGTGGTCCTACTCTGCATCTGAGCGGTCCCACGACAAGAAGTGCTGACCCCAGAAGGTGTGTGCAGAGGGCCCGGGCTGACCTCAGGGCTCTGGGGGGGCTCCACAGGACTGGCTGCCAGGGGTGGGGTGTCTGATGGTTGCCTGTTGAGCCAGAGTGACCCCATACAACCTGTGTAGGGGTCCAGGGGCCAGAAGGCCAGGTTTTCCTGGAGGTCTCATCTCCCTTGGGCCTCAGTTTCCCCTTCTGTGACTCCACACCCCCGAGGAGGGCCCTGTCAGGGAGGGCAGGGGCACTGGTTAATGTCAGGACACAGCTGTCCCAATGAAGACAAACCCCTGGAATGTGCTGAGCTGGCCACATTGAGCAGGCTGGCCTCTGAGATGGAGGAGCCCCTGAGGACACAGAGGCTCTGTGGAACCCAGGCCCTGGCCATGGCAAGGATACCCCAAACCACATGTGTGGCAGCCCCATCCCCTCTGTGGGCCTCAGTTTCCCCTCTGCGCAACGACGGGAGTGACCAGCTGTTCTTGGAGCCTCCTTCGCTCCCTCTCTGTCCCCAGGGTGGGCCGGGCCTCAGATCTGCAGGGGTGCTGCAGCTGCTCCTGTGGTCCAGGCCTCGGGGAGTGAGCCAAGTGTGGAGAGAATGTCTTGCTTGTGCCTGCTCAGCCCAGAGGGACACGTGGCGTCTGCACCTGCTTCCCACTTGGCCACAATTGCCCTTTGAGAGCAGAGCCAGGGGCTTCTTGGGGACAGGAAGCTGCTCTCAGAAGCTGCAAGACTGGCGGTGGGGCGAGCGGCAGGAGAAGGCGGCTGGCCTCGCCCAGAGCCTTTGGGAACGGCGGCCTGGGGCAGAGGTGGCTGCAGGTGGCGGTGTCTGGGCCTCAGGCGTTGGGGCAAGGCCTGCCCGGGTTTTGCCCGAGTGTTTCGCCTTTATCCCGGTCTCCATCTGTGGGTGCCACTGGACTCGTGAGTGTACGTAGGTCCCGGTCGTAGCAGGCCATCTCCCGCCTCCCTCCTTCCCTTCGACTCCCATCCAGTGCCCCGTGTGCTTAGCCTGGGTGGCTGGCCGTGGCGCTGACCACTCCATGTCCTGCATGGTGGGCACCGGTGCTCCCACCTGTCTGCAACTTTGCCACCGCCCGGCACCAGGCTGTGTGTGCTTACACCCCGCTCGGCCTGCCTTTGTGTGACTCAGACCTAGAGGCCCCTGGGAAGTTCCTGCCTGCAGTGAGTAGACCCCATGTGTGCTCCCTAACCCAGGCCCTGCCCTTGTGGGTGCTGCTTGGGAGCAAACACCCAGAACGGCTGCCCGAGCCCCACTTAGCTTGGGGCTTCTGATTTGCAAAGGGGCTTCTCAGGTGCTCCTCGGGTCAGGGCTCTGCAGGCGGGGAGCACTAGGGGTGGGGTGAGGGCACTGTAGGGCTAGCTGCCTGTGGGCGGGGGTCCGGTTGCCCAGCGCCTGTCCCCTGCAGGATCCCTGGCTCTGGGCCACCGGATGAGGTTTAGGAAGTGGCAGCGGGTCCCCTATCCCCAGAGAGCCCCATGGCTCCCGAGGCTTCCTGTGGGCACACCTCTATGTCTCTGTTTGCAGTGGCCTCTATTTTGGGGACACGGAGCTCCTCCTTCGAGGTTTTGTGTCCTGATTAACCACATGCCCTCCTGCTGGGTGAATTCTGGATGACCCTGTATCCTGGGCACATGGCTCACAGGGTCCCTGGGGCTCTCCGGCCAGCCTCCCTTGTACCCCGGCCCCAACCATCCTGGCCAAGGGTCAGCTTCCAGAGCCGTGTTGAGAGGGGAAGGGGCTGATTCCACAGATATTTGGGGTGCAGTGGCTGTGAGGAGGGTGGGGGAGGGAATGCTCCAGATCTGGGGTGAGGGAGTCAGAAACAGGGCTGACCCCATGGTGGGTGCAGGAAGAGGCCGAGGTGTGGGAAGGGGCTGTGGCTGTCTGTACCTCCTGAGCCCCATCCCCAATCCAGATGGGGGCAAATGTGGGGCTCCCTGGGCCCATCTTGCTGACCTGTGGACCTGCTGTGACCGGCAGAGCATGGGGTCCCCTCGTACCCCTGCGAGGACAGTGCTCTTTGAGCGGGAGAGGACTGGCCTGACCTACCGC